AGCAGGATGCAGCGCACCCTTCATGCGACTCGCCGAATATCTCACGGCGCTTCGCGCTTGGTGTTGTGCTATTATAGTCCGGTGAGAACCCGGCGTGCTCCGTCCCGGCTTTGTAGGGATGCGAGGTCAATGGTCTAACGACTACGGCATGCACGACTACGAGTACCTCCCGCCCCCGCCCCCCCCCAAACCCATGACACGCTCACGTGTTTTTTCAACGCCGTGCTTCGCCGGCGTCGCCGTCGTCGCTTCCTGGACTGCCTTGCTGTGCGATGTCAGGCCCGGCTGTCGGGAGCTTCGTTTTCGCGACCGGCGTGGTGGCCTTGTTCTACGACAACGTGGACAACGAGGGTGCCTCTTCCGACGATTGCGTGGGGCCTCAGTGCTTCGGCGGGACGTTCTTCGTGACGGGACTGTCATGTCTCTGCGCCTGCGTCGTCGTGTACGTTGTGCTCGTGCGGACGGATTTCAACAGCAGGTCCCGCCGGGCGGAGCTGTGAGCCCCAAGCATCTTCCCCGCTCGCTCCTGGCGTGCTTGTTTCGTGTCTTGTTGTGCCGAGCGCTCCTTCTTTCGAGACGTCTGTCTGTGGTCGAGCGCTTGTTCGAGACGTGAGTGCGTCTTTCGCGACTGTGTGGTCGAGGCTAGACTGCTGTGCTGTGGCGCGCGGGGTGTGTACCGCTGTCCTGTGTAGTTTCTTGCTCGCTGGTGACCTCGTCACCGCTGCCGTGGACTGACTGTGTTTTGTTGTCGCTCGATTTCAGGCAGAAGGCGTAGAGCGTAGGTTACGGGTTGTCCTAGCGGCGCCATCCCTCGAAAACACCGAGGCAGGGCGCAAGTGGAATTGTGTTCATTTGTAATCAAGACAGCAGCAGTGCAGCACACCATGGAGATGGATAGTCTCGAGGTTCGGCGGCAGCATCCACTCCTCATGGCACGTATACTGTTGGCATGTCGTCCGTCTCTTCAAGGAGCTCCTTGCTGTAAACTTTCCGTTTGTTATGTTACCGGACAAAGGGCGTGGGTTTTACTGTTCTTGCGCGGCCTTCGGGAAAATCATGCTCAAAAGTGTTGGAACAATCGATCGTGGGATCATTTAGTCTAGTTCTGAAAATTACGTCGGTGTGTTTAATAGACCCCTGTTGATGCGTTCGTCTCCGAACAAATCGTGTTGCGAGTTGTCATTGTGTGTGTGTGTGTGTGTGTGTGTGTGCCTTTTTCCGTCCCGTGTGTCGTGGCGTGTCGTGTCTACACGCCTCGTGGTATGTTTTTTCGCATCAGCCTGTGCTGCTTGCAGAGGACTGCGGAACATTAACACAGGGAAAATACTTCCTTCTGTCGTCGAAAATTTCACTGTTTTTTTTTTCAGTCGGCCGATGTTTTTTTTTTTTTTTTTTTGCTTGAGCCCTCTGGTGGGCGGCGGGTACAAGTACGGTGTATGGGCGAAGCCAAGCCCGCGTGTATCTGTGCTGCATTGTTCTGCCAATCAAATTACCGCGATTTTTCAAGTACGTTACAAAGCGAAGCGGTATGTGGCTTGGCCGTTGTTTCTTCTCTCTTTGACCGAAGGCCAGGGTGAACGGGGGGCCTCCGGCTGGTGATTCATTCCGCGTAACCTACCCCCGGGGCGGGGCGCGTGCAGTGGGTAGACGATGCCATCCCAGGGCAACAAGAAGGGCGGGAGCCGGGTGTGTGTGGTAAAAAGGAATGCGTTGTACAAATAACAGAATTCGGGTGACACGCGTCTCCCCCCGGCAATAAGTGGACTGTTTTTGGCGGTTGTTGCGGCACGCGGGAAAAGGGAAGAGGGGACAGGCACGCAGAACGACGCTATCCAGCTCGCCGAAAACGTAAGCGGGAAAATGTTGAGCATTTTGCGGCGAGGGGGTTGGTCTGGTTGTGCTCGCCGGGCTCAAGATCCCCGTTGCTCCTAGGAACGTGAAGAATGTGAGTCGCTACTGTTTCTGGTTGTAGGAAGGGCGATCTTGCTCGTCTCTGCCGCACTCTTGCCCTGCCCACACGGAAAGACTGCAGCAGCGGCGGGTGGAGGTGGTGGTTCTCTTTTTGGCGAAGGGCTCTGTCCTTGCGGTGGGGACAATATATCTATATATATACCAGTTAGAAGCGGCGACCCTCGCGGTAGAAGTTATTATGTATGCAGTCTAAAGGAGGATCGAAAACACTTGAGGGTTCGATTCTGACGAAGAATGGCGAGAAGTTGAACCCCACCCACAATGAAACCTAGATGTTATTGATTGATTTTCCCACAGATTATCAAGTATGAGCGAGTGTTGCGCAATATAAGCGGATTATTAAGGAAGCTAAATGGATCGAGAAGCCTACACAGCACTTGCTCGCACACACGAACCACTCATCATCTTGTCGGCACGAGGTGTCATTTTTTCTCGCTCGACATTGTCCCAAAACATTGCCCGGTACTGGTTGTCCGAGCCCCCTGGAGGACTTTCTCTTCGTCCTCTATCATTTAGACACTCCGCTATAATAGGCTAAGCTTCTGTTGGGAATGATGCAGGAAGAACTCGTCTGACGGCAGTGCCCTGCAATGTCGTACGAATGTTCCCCCACCACAGCGACAGACGCGCAAACCAACGCGAGACATTTGGGGCAGTGCATTATCGTAAGAGCGGAAGCAGTTAATCCCATGGAGACTCGGAGATGTTCCAGTTGTCACATTCGCGTATAGAACCGTGGATTTTAGCCACACTCGGTTTGCTGGTGGCTAAGGCTCATTTGATGCGGGTAGGAACAGACGAAAAAAAAAAGCCCATCAAGACTGGCATATTTCACTGGTCAGCCGCTTGGCGCGGTCGACGCCAATAATAGAAACACACACACACACACACACACACACACACAGGAGTGCAATAACGCTTACAGAGCATACCGGCAAACCGAACGTACGGTTGGTTGGGGTGCGATAAGAAGACTTGTGCTGAACAAAGAACTCTCTTCAACATGTACAGAGAATTTACAAAACATGCTTGATAACAAGAGTTGTTCTGCACACCCGTTAGTCTTAAACCAATTGTCATTGCCACTCATTCAATCAATACTCACAGCGCAGCCCCAGCCAGACCACAAACTAATAGCGTCTTTCACCCAACAAACATATCACGCGCGAGTCCCACCCTATCTCATTGCTCTCCCCCGAACGCGCAACGACCAAACTCTCCTGTAAGGGACCCACCCCCCAACAACGGGAACAAAGGACAACAACAACAACCGGACCGTCAGAACCTACCGCAGCGACTCAATGCCATCAAATCAAGGAGCCGAACTACACGCACCTCGGACCAGGGCAGTGCCCCTGNACCAGGTCAGATCTTCCTACATATAACGCCGCAGGCGTTAGGCTTGCAAAAAAATGGCGCATTCTGTGTGCAGGTCAGATCTTCCCACGATGCGCCGCAGGCGCTCAAGATTGAAAAAATGGCGCATTTGTGTCTAGCTCGGGGATTTTCTGCACTCTCGCCGCCCTGCGCCAATTGTTGGTTGGCTTTATCCCAGCTGTTGGGGACTAACTCGGCCACTACGACGGACAAGTCTATTCGCCTTCATCCAGAGGGAACACTGACGGGCGCAACGAAAAAAAATGCACGAACAGAGTCTAGTGTAAGCTCAGAGCACGCACGACTGGGTCTTAAACAAATGAAATGCACGGTTTGCAACCCGTTCCGCCGCAAACGGCTCGCCCTATAGAAAAAAACTGAAGAATAAAACGCTGAATACTATTTTAAGTACACATGTGTAACAACTCTTGGTCATGCCGGACTAGGCCCTCCCGAAAGATTGATGCCGTTACTGCCCGCCCCGCCCCCCATTAACAACGCCTCCAGATCCTCCGCCTCCTGCACCGTGTCTGCCAGCACCCCCGCCTCCCCTCCCTCCCCGGCACCATTCCTACTTCGGCCCCCCCCCCCCCTCCCGCTGCCGTTGATCGCAGCGGCGCCATCCTTCCCGAGCCCNCCCCGGCACCATTCCTACTTCGGCCCGCCCCCTCCCTCCCGCTGCCGTTGATCGCAGCGGCGCCATCCTTCCCGAGCCCCGTTTCTACCCCTCGAGGGTTCGCTGGAACTCCCAGGTTTGATCGGTACATCTGTGTGGTAAGGGTGGCACAACAAGGGAGGCGGCGGTTCAAGATGGCTCGCGTGAAGGCCGACCGACTGCATGGGGTAAAATGGCAGAGCGAATTCGAGCAAGGGGGCCGGTCGTGTGAGGGGGAAGTTTCAAGAGGAACCTATGGGGGTGGACGACTAAACACGGACCAAGGACGCGCACGCAGCAAAAGCGTGAGCTTCGCGCATGCAACCCAGAACCGGGGCGTGTGTGCGGGCGGAGCTGTGTACGTTCGGGGGTGAATGGCTACAAACGACCCAAGGAAGCGCGCGTAGCAAACGTGTGAGTTTCTCAGCCTTGGGGCACAGGCAAAGGGCAGGCCGCCTTCTCCTGCTGGAGCACAGACATACTGCCTTAGGAGGCACCGTACGGGACAAGCATAACGAAGGCCTCGGTTGCGGCGCTGCTGGAGCAAACGGTGACCCTTCCATGCTACGGGGCCGCACGTTGCAAGACCCCCAACATGCGACGTTCGAGACGACACGTGCGGCGATGGGTGTTCATTCCTCGACGGGGGCAAGTCGGTTACCGTTATCTATCGCACGCCAAACAGAAACAAAACCTGGTGTGTCGCGGCGGAACCGCGGCCGCCCCGGTGGTCTAGCGTTGTCCTCGTAAACCGCTAGTCGCAGAGGTCGTGAGTTCGAATCCCCATGGACCGAAAAAAATGCAAACTCTGCGAGTGAAGGCGAAGTATAGCTGAAACGCTCTCGTGGGTACCAAACTTTCGACCTTAGAACCGTTGACGCGGGAAAGGGATAGCTGGACCCTTCTCGCGATGAAAATAAATATTCAGCACGCACCGCAGGAGGACAATGGGGCATGAAAATTTTAAAAAAAGAAGAAAAAAGCCCTGGTGTTTACCCCCTCCTATGTGACCCTGGATGGTTGTAGTGTACGAAAAAATATACTGAAAAGTGTAGTCCTATACATGCGCTGGAAAAATGTTGTACACGTCTCACCACGAAAAATGGGGGGACTGTCACCATAATATACAGGACGTAAATACACACAACACACACAATCGACGGCGAAACAAAACTAACGAAGACGGTTCTTCTCTTTAAACAGAGACCTGCATCATCTCCAAGTTATCCAAGTCGTTCGTGTCGAACTCCAGCTCGTCTTGGCCGGAGAAGTTGAAGAGCTCGTCGATGTCGTCGCCCCCCTCGTTCTGCGCCTCCAAGGAGTTCTTGAAGGCTGTCTCCTCCTCGTCGAGGCTATGGTTCACGGCCGTGTAGTTCACCGCCGTCTTGCAGCAGAGTCTTCGGCAAACGGCCACCCCTCCGACAACCTTTTGCAGGAGAGGGAGGGGGTGTAATAATGAAAACGCTGCCGGGCGTAATCAGTAGACCATATAGACCGCTGGAGGGGGTCCAACCCCCCCCTCCTATGTGACCTCGGTTGGGTCGTCTAGCTGGTAGAAGTGGAGGATAGGGGCCAGAGGGGCAGACGACAGAGTCAAATGATGGGGAAAAAAAAAAAAAAACATAAGACCTCGCATGCCCGGACGGAGCGACATGCCGGATTTCGCCGGCCCAGGCTACGAGTTGGGGGGGTGTACTCATGGTCGTGCATACCGTTGTCGTTGGACCTTCGACCTCGCATCCCTACTAAGCCGGGACGGAGCACGCCGGGTTCTCACCGGACTAGGCTCTCACATCACCAAGCGCGAAGCGCCGTGAGGTATTCGGCGAGTCGCATGAAGGGTGCGCTGCATCCTGCTAGTCGTGTTCGGCATCTTGTGCTTACTTCCTTGCGTACGGATGACAGCTGCGTATGACTTAATTTATTTTCTGGTGTTCACTTCCTGAGAAAAGTTATAAGCACTGCTGTGTAACTGCCTCGAGGGTACTTGACCATTTTAACACAACGTGGTGCGATCATCCCCCTTGCGCGGAGTGAGGCTTCTCTACCCCGCACAACATGACCTACTCGACGACCACCATTATGGTTACCGCCAAAAAAAAAAAAGAGAGGATAAAAAAAGAAAACGGTAACCTGGTTGCGGAGCTGACGAAGTGAATTGGCTTGTTTTACAACGTCGTTGCCAAGCGACGAAAACC